ATTTTTATTTCTTCTAATAGAAGAAAACGGTAAATTTCGAATAAGTAAAACTATTTAAACTGCTTCTAATAATAAGATTGAATGGTGCTAATAATAGTGAATGATATTTCCAAGCTTGCACCTTTACGATTTGGTAGTATATGCCGAAATAGTCAAAAGGTACTAAAACGTAAAGTATTATAATTCGATACAATTGAATGTTATCTAGAGAATAAATAAATGCAAGAATCTTCTTAATATATATCATTTTATTGTGTATTGTACTTTTCGGCTTCCTTGTATCAAATGTAAAGATATTTTGAAAACATTTTGATTGAACTTTTTCACAATTTGATTATTTTCTGTTCATCGATGCGTGACAAATACTTATATTATTCTTATTAATACATTAGGAAAATTAGTTCGATACAACAAAAGTAACAAAATCTGTTACTGACACGGCATTCCATCTCGCTGCGCATTCGCTAAAGCGTCCGAATCGCCCCTTCAGAGCGCGTGATTTAGGCTCGTTCAGAAAAAAATGATTTTGAAAAGTTATAAAAAGTTTTCTTCGCTATTCTTGAGAACCGCAGGTACAAGTTGACACAAACTTTCTTTTGTATAACAATAATAAATTACATGCGAAATCTTAACTTGTAACCAAAATATTTTCATAGATAGAAAAATCTCACCAGAAATTTAGACATCTAAAAAATGTTGATTTATTTTTTAGATTTTATCACAAATATCTGTGGAAAGCGTGTCTGCTTTGACAACCCAATTCGACGAATTCGATCGGACATGTCGATCGCTTCGAAACGTAATTGAAATTCAGGAATTTTCTCATCACACAAAAATAAATTCCATTGCGCTAACGAATGCGAAAACGAATATGTTAATGGAATAACTTTTGAAGTACAAATTTGTTTGTGGCGTGTTTATATGTTTATATCATGGCATTATTTGTTTAAAAATGTAGAGTTTATAACAAAAGTACTTCTACCAAAAATAGCTGTTATTGCGACTATTATGCAAACGGTGCCCACAGTTTTGTGTCGTTTGATTCGAGCTTATGACGAGTATATTCGTCAATCATAGAGTAAGTTGCGCTGAAATCGGATGAAAAATATAAGGGCTTAAAGGTCTGTGGGTAAAATTCTTTATCAGATATTTCAAAAACAAGTAAAGTTAGTTAATTTTTTGACAACAATATTTGATATTGAAAAAGAACAAGCTTTCACCTTGATTCTTACAACGTCGCTGTCAGGAGATAAACGGCAATTTTGAAAATTCATAACAAAAGTATTTTTTTTATTGTTATTTTTTTGGTTGTAAGCACTGTTGTTTAGTTTTCGAGACCGCAATATAATTTTCAAGGATCAATGCAAGGATCAACTAACCTGGCAAATGCGCAAACAATAAAAAAATATTAAATAAAAAAGTAAATTTAGTTAAAAACAGTAATTTTACAAGAGATAAATTAATGAAAAAGTTATTCCAACTTAGCTGATGATTATTTTTAACAAAATATTAGATCAAGGGGATATACAGTGTTATATTTATCATGAAATTTATCAATTTTTATTAGTAGTAAATAGTCACTATTTTATACGCATGATGAATATACTTGTCAATGCACAAAATTTTGTCATTTCTTTATGACGAGTATATTTGTCAATCACAGTCAACTGGTTAATTGAGACAGAAGCTACCAATACGAACTGACAAAGGGTAGTAGGAAATTTAACTCATTGTTAGACTTTAGATCAAGTTGTAATATTTATACACAACATATATATATATATATATATATATATATATATATCATATAGGTCCATTCTTACGGTATCTGTATTCATGTCGGTGATTTGGGTGGGACAAAACTTCTGACGTTATAATACGCGACGATTGTGATCTTCGGTTTGTAATTCAAAAAAAAAATACAAAAAAATGTCAGGCGGCTTCTCATGCGTCGCATACATATATAATTCAAGTTCCGATGGTGCAATACACGCACTCATATAGAGACGAAGGTGCATACACACGTGCATTCAAAAGCTTTCATCGAAATATCTTCGAACTGGACAAACTTGTTTGCAATGGACGCCATACCACGCAACCGGGGATAGTATTGTATATAGCATGATGTTATATTCATATATTTACATATAATATATACATATAAATTATATGATTGCTATTTTAAGGAAATCAAAAAATGAGTTTTACAATATTATATATTTTAATTTGTAAACTCACAATTGTCATTACAGTCTGAAAACATTCTGTATATTATATTGTATATTATATGAGAAATTTTTTTTATTTTTTTTTTAAATAAAAATCATGATACAACAATATCCTATAAACTATTGTTATATGGGCACATACAAAAATTGTAAGTTGACATAGAAAAAAAAATTAGATTTTACTCCATTATGAGATATGTATCTAATGTTTTATAAGAAAGACCCGAAGAATGTATATTATTTTAGTATTGTTGCATGTTTCTTTTTTTTATTTTGTCAAAGGCTACGATTTTGAAAGCAATCTGTTAACTATATGTGTATAATAAAAGATAATTCTTATAAAAGAAATTCCAACAAAAGGACTAGAGATGAGAAATATGCAAATTGTTTACTTTGTTGGCTTTTATCGATTAATGTTGCATTTGTCACACAATCCGAGGTTTATTATGTGACAGAATTGAATAAAATATATAAAAACTAATATTGATCGTGTGGATTTCGGTACATTTTAGCTATTTATTAAAATATAATAATTAGACACACATATTTAACATATATATACTAGGGTTTATACAAAAACCAACATTTTAGAAAACCGGTTTTTGAATAGTACTTTTTCAAACAAAAACGGTTTTAACCGGTTTAGGGTTATACTTATATTATTATTATTATTAGAATTTTGATAAAAAACTATTTGCAATAATAATTCAAACAAAAAATTTTAACAGAATCTTTTGAGTGATTTATCAGTTTCTGACTGAAATTAATCACTTTATTAATAATAATTTTTATATTCAATTTAGTAAAACAAAAATTTTACCAGGATCAAATAACTTAATACAAATAATTATTCGTTGTGTATGAATTGTTTTTACATGTATCGATGTTAATATTTTTATAATACTCAAACGAAGGACGGCTATCGATTTTTAACACGATTTTCATCAATTTGGTACATTTGGCTGCATTTCTCATTCTCAATTTATATGCTAAAAACCAACAATCTTTAATATGTGCAATTATTTTGAATATTAAAAATATTAGTTGTCGTCAATTACAATGAAAGAGGTTAATTATTACAAATTTGATTAAAACTTTAGAGACAGATTAAGGACTACAAACTGCTCGTTAGTCCATCCGCAAAATATTTTGTAATAAAATACGAACAAAAAGGGTTAAATGTAGGATCGATTTTCCCTCGACTCAAATATCTAAATAGCTTGGAATTTAAACTGCCAGAAACTTTATGACAAGTACGGTACTGGGATCTCTGCATGCGATGTATTTTTTGTCTATTAAATATATATGTATCTTAAATATATATTTAATTAAAATACGCGATTTTTATATATCACATGTTTTTTCTAATTTTATATGAAAATTATTATTTAAGTTCAAGTTATTACTTTCGTTACGTTACGGTTGCATTATGTTCGTCAATTAAAATTTGTACTTGTCAATATATAATATTTTGCATTAAGGACATGCTGTAAGATCGATTAATACGCAAAATATTTGTGGTTAATACACACACACACAATAAGCGTGTGTTTGCATGCTGACATATCATCGGCCAATATTCCGAAAGAGTTGTGCCAGCGTTTCAGCAATTTCATTAGAATAAGTCCTTTCGGGAATGGCTATAACAATAAGTCGATTTTGCAGGGATGTACAAATATATATATATATATATATATATATATATATATATATATATATATTAATTTTCGACCCAAATTATAAATTTTCAGTTATAACATTTAGATATTATATTTATATAATGTCATTCAGATATTCAGATATTCAGATATTCGGATATTCAGATATTCAGATATTCGGATATTCGGATATTCGGATATTCAGATATTCCGATATTCAGATATTCAGATATTCAGATATTCCGATATTCCGACATTCCGATATTCCGACATTCCGATATTCCGATATTCAGATATTCAGATATTCAGATGTTCAGATATTCAGATATTCAGATATTCAGATATTCAGATATTCAGATATTCAGATATTCAGATATTCAGATATTCAGATATTCAGATATTCAGATATTCGGATATTCGGATATTATGAATATATATGACTTGTTTGGTGTTTTTAATAATTCTGTATTAACGGCAATGATTTTTAATACCCTTTCAAAATGTATTTTATGTCAGTTATTTATCATAATCCATCTGAACCTTCAGTTCGATGTGATTTCTGCTATCAAATACATGCCCATTAGAAATTCTTCTATTGAGAAATTTATTTGAAAAGGTATCGTATGGCATTTTATTTGGTGAACTTTTGCGGTCACTTCCTTCCCAGTCTTCTAATGGTAATAATTTCTTTATATTTTGAACTTTTTTTCTTTATAACTTTGCAGATTTGATATTTAAATCTGCGCTAAATTTTAAACATCAGTTTACGATGTTTCAAAGTATATTTGAATGTGCTCTCTGAATGGTATGTTATCAAAATAATAAATTATCATCTAGTTTTCTTAATAATTGAACTACTGTTGTAATGTAAATAATTTTATTCGAACTTATACGAAATAATTTTTAAGTATAATAAAAAAGTTACTAGTTTGTATATACGCTTTGTTATCTGTGTTAACACTGGATTCATCAATATCTTGTCCACGGTTCACTTTGAATAAACAAACAAATCCAATAGGCATACCAAATTGTTTGGAATAACGTAACGAGATGTCATACCACCCCTGCTTCCGTCCGGATGATGGTTTTTATGCAATGTATTATATAACTTCAGCCCCAGTTCCTCCTACTTCGATGGGTTGCCCTAATATTGAGTGGGTGGACGGCGATCCGCCATCTCTCCACGGGGGCGAGTACACCCTTGCAGAAATCCGCTAAGTCTTCCCCTATTTGCAATGCGGTCTTCCAGTCGGAAAGTTTAATTTCATTGAAATTTGGGGATGTATATACTTATGTATACACTTTAAGCGAAACTCACGTACTTTAACACACGTACACGAGATTGAAACGCACACCGACGAAATATTTATAAGTCTTGACTTCAATCACCCGCAATATAATAAGAAGATATGAATATGTAATAAGTTTCGGTATTGAGTAATTCACTTTATAAATTGAGGGAGCTGACGGTCTGCGAATTTTTATAGTATATTAATAGTACAACGTGGTGAGATTAATATTCTTATTAGATTATTTTTCATTAAAGCTGTTGAAACCGTTGAAACATCAATCAAACCATTAAAATGTTTAATTACTTTTATTAGAATCGATTTTCTTTCATATATTTAGATTCAGAAATGTGGTCTGATTCATGAAACTTAGAATAATAAAATCAGTAATGTGCTAATTAACTTACTGATTACTGATCATAAATACATTGTTTTACTAAAGTACAGGCATGTTTTTGTTGTAATATTATTTTACAAAATAGTTTTCTGTGAATTGTATATTACATCAAGCTTAACAATTTCTTGTTATAAAAAATCGATTAATCCTTTATTATCATATTTGGGATATTTTAGTAGATATCAACTTTTTTTAACTGATATAGTCGATGATACTTGACTATTTGACTAAATTACTTTTATTTATATAATTAAAAATAACAATTCTAGGTAAAAAATAAAATCCAGATAATAAATCAAATTAATATTATTAGTCTCATGCAACGCTCATTTATATATATATATATATATATATATATATATATATATATATATCATATATATGTATATGTATATATGTATGTATGTATGTATGGATATACAGGGGGTCCAAGATCTCAACCCCAAGCCAAAACGGGCAACCAGGTCTTCGGTAAAATTGTGACCATTTTTCGGTTATTGTGATTAATAATTATTACTTTTATTCATTTAAATTTTGGAATCGCAACTGTAAACAGCATTTTACAAAATCACAGTGAAGACACACAGTAATGATAGAATTTTCTTAAGTTTTCAAGAATGAAAACTTTTTGTTCATTTATGAATTTAAAATTTCCAAAATTGGTCAACTTTGAAAAGCGTGTCTTTAGAAAAAATGAACTAAAATATGTGGACAAGTTTCATCATAATTGTGAAATTTTGAGTTCTAGGCTACCCTGTACATAGGTATGCATGTATCTCGTAATTTGTCACGAGCTAATAATAAACAAGCTAAATATTTCAACCTGTCCCATGTCAGTTATTAATATAAATCTTGGCAGAAAAGTTTTTATTATTTATGTCTTTATTACGTATACAGAATTAACATTAATAAACTATGTAAATTTATGTGTTATATATCATGTTATTGATTGATAGCAATGAATTATTGGCTAATACTTGCTATATAGGTTTGCTACAATGTCATCGTAATTAAAGAACTCGCATAGTAAGTGTTTCATTAATTAAGTATACTAAGAAATAGTATTACATAATTCTTATATAATACTGCATCATATTCGAGATTTATATTTGCCATAACTTTTTCAATTATTGGATAGAATTTATTTATTTTTCTAAAAATCTTGCGCAATATGTTTAGAGGTGTGCTGATTTGCTGACGCTTAATTTCTTTAATAATATAAGAATCTTTTCTAAATTTAAACTTCAATATGGTATTATAAGTATTGAAGCAAAAAATACTAAACTTATGAGTGTAAATTGTAAACTTACATTGCAAACCAAACGCTGTGACTTGAAAGCTCTGAATTCATAAACTTGAGATCCTCAGAGCTGACAATCTTTTTTTATATATATTCAAAAGTATCCAAGTTTTAGTATTATGATTCTTTAGGTTCAGAATATTATATAAATAAATATTATATCATGATACAGCAACATAATAATTTAAAATAAATTAATGTTAAAACAAATATTTTAACTTCTAGTCAAATTTACCCGCCATATAAGCACCTGCGTTATAAAATTGATTATTTATCTACAATCATGCTATAATATAAAATTTAACTACGATGTCTTTATACGTTTTCTTAAGCCGCAATTGCATTTAAAATATTCATAGCTCAATTAAGTGAGAATCGTTTAATTGCTTTAATAATAAATTTCAATGCTTATTTCCGATAAATAACCATTACGATTTCAAGTACACGATGACTGTCGTATGGGATGTGCACAGGAACGTGCAATTTAATTGACCGAACTTTTTCGTAATTTGTTGGCCAAATACATTCAGTGACAATTCTACCATTTTGGTTCAATTTTTATCATTTCTGAAGTATGTATAGCCTAATCATTTTAATAATATTGCCATTATTCACAAACCTAGGTGAGCAATCGATTAGTATTGGCAATATTATTAAAAAATAGAGAGATATTGAAATTTCTTAAAAAAATATATAAATAAATATATAAATATATAGATAAATAAGTATTTGATAATGGTATAATGCAATATAATTTATTTTAGAAAAATCCATTTACTGGCTAAACTGTTTGATCTCGTTGTTCTTCATCATATTGACTGATTTAAAATTTTATACATCTTATTTCGTTCCAAATTTATCAATCTTTAATAATGTGTTACAATTGAACAATGTAAAAAAATCACACCTGAGGTTGATTGGAACAATACGGTACTTTTTCTAGAAATTCGTGGAAATTGTACTCCATTATTTTTACTTCATTTGATATGGAAATTGTTACAATTGCTGCATCCATCTTGATTTCGTAGAAAATGAATCCATGGATCCCAAGATATATCTATTTAAAAAAACTGTTACAATATGCTCCTAGCTCCACTATATCATAGATTAACAATAATTAAGGGCAGAATAGATGCCATCATCGGGCTGGATTTTGCTCGTGGCCTTCAGTTTGGAGATCACATTTTTTGACCGTGGTTCAAACAGAAGATGAAACTAATTAGAATCAGCTGCCAAATTGAATAACTAAATATTCTACTCACACACTTTTAATGTGAATTAATTAATATTCTTCCATTCATTACTTATTTTTGTCTGGTATCTCGCATCGAATACACAAGTGATGATTAAGATGTACACATTGAGCTTAAAAAACAACTCAATACCGTATTTGGCTATAAATTTAAATACCTTAAAATCCTACTTCCGTCTCCAAGTCTAACATTAATGCCGTATCGTTGTAAATTATACAGTCGAATATCATAAATCCAAAACGCCCTTCTTCGCTGACTCGACACTTTCTTCTAAATGAATAATATTTAGCATAAAAAAATCGTGAAAAGTATTTTTCCGAATGGTCCCGTGACGCGTGTGTTCTTAATTAAAACGAAAGAAAATAAAAAAATCGTCGTCGTTCATTGCTTTTCTGAATGAATAATGACCTCGGCGTTTTAAAGGAATAGATCTTTAAGTATCATATTTCTATTAAAACCGGTAGGAACATGCTAGTGTTCATTACGACGAAGGAAAACGTCGATGCGAGGTACAAATGCGAATACCCACACACTGGCGGCTCAAGGTTTCGATACGTGGATTTTTTTTATTCAACAGTAGCAGAATACGAAACAAGTCCGTCCAAGGTTGATAACAACGGTCGCTCGGAGATCTTATTAAAAAAGGTAAAGCTTTCAGAGTCGCGATACGTAGAGCGAATCTTTTGTACGTGCAATATTAATAATAGCGTAATTAGCGAAAAAAACATGCCGACAAGTCGCAGTAGGTACAACTTCATGCATGCCGGTTGCATAAACAATCATGCCGCGGTTCTCATGCTAAAGCTCGTGCAACAGAAGGCGAACATGGTCATTAACTACGCGGAGTTTGCTAGACTAGATTAATATACCGTCACATTTTGGTTTTCTACTCTAATAATTGCATTAACATTTACTAATAAACATCTAATAGATTAGTAAAATTGTATTCCACTTGTACTTGTACTCCATAACTATTGTTTATTATTTTCTAGAAAAAGTGTTACAACTTATCCCGTGTTTGGGGCCAGTTGTAATATCTACCGAGCAGTAATACCTCGAATTTATTCTTTACTTATTTTTATGAATATTGACTTGTTTCTATGTAATTCATTTCATAAATTAACGCAAACTATAACAAACATAAATAAAATATATAATGTAAATATGTGTAATATAAAGTTTTATCATAAATTAACGTAAACTACAATTATTATCATAATACAAATTAAAGACATAGTGCCACCTGTAACACAATTTATATGTGCTCACATCTTACGATTTATACATTCCATCCAACTAGCCCTATGGTTTTGTTTCAACTAACCCCAGGTGTACATTTTTTACATTATTCATGATAACTATTTATACAATTCATTATCAGTTATTGATAAATTTGAAATAAAATAAGATATATAATATTTAAAATTTGTCGACAATAATAAACCGAAATTTTATGATAGATCAATTTTATATTACCTGTCAAAAATGGCGGATCTGCACACTTCTGTTTACTGCGTCGGCCTGCGGGACAGCAGCTTTAACTATATTATGCAGGGCGGTTTATATGAAGACAAAAAATATTTTAATATCGTCTGAAATTCTATTGAAAAATAAAAACCTAAACATAAAAAAATAATATACTCTGAGAAAAATAACATGGATTCTTGGAACTATGATAGCTTTCGAACTTTAATGCAAAAACATGGATGAATACTTTTAACACACTTAAGTAAACATTATTACCGCCTGGTGTTTAATATTCATTATTCAAACAGTAGTTCATCGTTTACCTAAATAATTAGTAACCTATCATATGAAATAACGAACTGAATTTTATACATAATGATTATAGCTAGTTTTAAAAATAACTATTTCTAATTATCAAGCATGCGAGGCTTGGTTAAGCGCTAATCATTCTAAACCGGCCATCGTTTCTAGTGTGATTACGGTCTGGTCATTTTGCAATCAGGTAGATCATA